CGCCACCGCCACCGCCACCGCCACCGCCACCGCCACCACCACCTTCACCACCGTCGGCGATCCCTAAACCTTCGACTCCAGCCACCGTCGGCGCTCAGCCGTAAATAAACAAAAAAAAAGTAGGCGACATCGTACGAGCCGATATATAGTCGAAGGGCTCGAGACATGAAAATTGCATTGGCCCGGCGGGTGGGAGCAGATAAGAAACGGAATTGAAGAAAGCGTCGTCGTCGCGAGTCTCCGCGGCACGATAAGGCACGGCTAGGTACCGTACAAACCGGCGCGACGACCCATCGCCAATCTATATGCACCCGAACACGTTATTTTACTCGGCGGTCTCCCATCAAGGGGACCCCCTCCCATCATTCTACATCCTCGCTCCAACCCCGTCTGCCCTCTTCTCAACGGTCGACAATCCTTCCTTGGCGATTTTTACAATACGGCGATAAGCGAAACGTCACAATGAAACGACAACGAGCGTGGCCTGGTAGGTCCTTGGCCCAGCGAACCTCAGATTTAAAGTTTCCTCGGTGTGGTCACGCGATATTAAACGATCGCAAACGACGGCAAAACATCGTCATCGGCCGCTTCTTACATAACGATTGCTTGCCTGCCCCTACTTCCTCTTCGCCCTTAATCGTCGTCTCCCTGGCTCAGAGACGATCGCGTGGTTCGTTTTATCGAGGATAACAAATTCGAAAACAATTAATCAAAATGACAACAAACGCTTATGCAAAATTCACTGACACACACCAACTCCCCAACGTTCGCTTATCGAATTTCTCTACATCCACTCGTACGCATTCTTCAATCGCTTTTATGTGTGGGAACGCGGCATTGTATGCGTACACATTGAACAATAGCGATATGCACGAAATTTTATATGTTTCACGCGATTACGTGGCAAAACTTGTATACTAAAATTAATTTATAATTTGGAAAACATTATTACGAGGCACTTGCACATTATATATCTACCATGAAAGAGAAAATTTATATTAAAGATCATCGTATCGAGCATTCGACCGCAAATTATAATTTTTTCTTCTTAATAATGATAATGGCACCTTGCCCTTCAATTGTTAGTATCAAAGATTTAACGTTCATTTAATAGGTTGAAGAAATAATTAATTTTAGCTTTTTCACACGGATTAAGTGCACTCGATCGTAAAAAAAAAAAATTACATCCTTACGTAGATTTATTTTTAAGGCAACGTTTTTAGCCCCTTTTTTGGCCCCCCCCCCACCCACCCCCACCACCACCCACCACTTATAATTTTAACGTCTAAAAAAAATGTAAAAGATTAAAAATATTTGTTGTCAATCATTATCCATTAGCTTTACTATCATATTTTATTAATGTTTTTTCAATTACGTTTTTGTGCATTATCGTTTGGTCAAGCATGGCGTCGATCGAATTTTTAAACAATATTTCAACGAGAAGTGGTTGTGATTACAACGTGCACGACACATCGGTAGGAGTGAGCTAGATTAATCACATATCGCGTCAGAGCTCTGCTCTACAACGTTATGAAAGTCAGATGCGAAAGAGTTTTCGCGTTAGCTATCGACTCCAACGTTGTTACGCAGCTTATCAAAATATACGGCACATAATAAAATATCCTTAGAACGGCTTCGACTAATCGAAATAATTCAAAACGCAAAAGTAATAAAAATATCGATTGCGGAACAATCCCAACGATTTAAAAACAATCCCAATATTCGTAACGAGCTTAAGAAAAAGGAAAAACAACAAGCACTAGGTAGGCATGTCGACGTAGGCATTGCTAAAGCTCGAGTGCGCGGTTCTTTTTTCTTGCAGGGGGCACGGAGACGGTGAGCGGTCAGGGTCAAAAGCAACCACCGCATCATCATCACCACCACCACCACCACCACCACCATCACCACCAGCAGCAGCAGCAGCAGCAGCAACAGCAGCAACAGCAGCAGCAACGAGAAAAACCGCAACAACAGCAGCAACAGCAACAGCGTGAACCACAGCAGCAGCAGCAGCAGCAGCAGCAGCAGCAGCAGCAGAAGCGTGAACAACAACAACAGACGCAGCAGCAACATAATCACCATCAACATCACCATCATCATCATCATCATCACCATTATCAGACGACGTCAGGCGGCTCGGGCAAATCGATGTCGGGCATTAGGCGTGGCCCAGGTAGGCCGCGATTACGACCCAACGGGCCCGGTAATCAGGGTTACCGGGCACCCAGCCATCATCACTCGCATGACTCCCAGCAGCAGCAGCAGCAGCAGCAGCAACAGCAACAGCAACAGCAACAGCAACAGCAACAGCAGAAACGGAGCTCGAGCTCGTTGCCGCTATCCTTGCCCGTGCCCATCAGACTCCACCCAAAGCCAACGGCTCAGGGAGCCACGACATCGGGGACCGGCGCTGCTGCCTCCGCCTCCACCACCCTCGTCGCTACCGAGTCCAAGCCTAGCGAGTCCCGACCTTTTGGCTTCTACACCCAACAGATGCAGCCCGGCGGTACCTAATCCGTGGTCTTCATCCCAGGCTCAGGGGGATTCAGGCACGTGGTGATCGACTACTCGGACGATAAATCCAAGCTGTCGGTTACGAGGACCGTAAGCGCTTACGTGGACAGTGCGCTTTGGATTTTGGACGCCACGAGCGTCCTAATGAATTCAATATGACGAATTCTCGAAATTTCGGTTTCTCACGACTCTGTACATATATTAGATTAACAATCGATCATCATGACGAATTAGCTATCATTGGACATCGATTTTTAATTGTGTCAAGTTGCCGATAATAAACGAACCGCGTGTCTGTTGGTTACGTTCGCGCATTACGTCCCCCGTATATTCGCTTCCTGCTCTTATAACTTTGGATTGCATTGCATTAGCATTAGTATTAGCATTAGCATTAGCATTAGCATTAGCATTAGCATTAGCATTAGCATTAGCATTATTCGGTGGCTCGAAAGGATAAAAAGAACTCAGCGATATAGCGCCCATATTTATTGCCCCAGAAATTGTTGTAAGTACAAATTGAAATCGTTGACATTTATTTATAGCTTTTCGTTCTTCCATGAAAAATGTGCACTTTATTTTCGATGCATACGCAGCATTATTATTATTCGGCACCTTTTCACTTTTCACTTTTTTTTTTTTTTTTTTTTAAACTCGGATTTAAAAAACACTTTACCGGTAAATGGCAATTACGCTCACGAGTCCTGGAAGTTCGGACGTGCGTAAGTAAGTGCGATAAAAATCGATCGAGGATTAAAAGACAATGAATTAATAAACAAGCTCGACGCTTCGCCGATCATACGAATCTGTATACATACATATATACATATATATATATATATATATATATATATATATATAGAGAGAGAGAGAGAGAGAGAGAGAGAGAGAGAGGGAGAGGGAGAGGGAGAGAGCTATGTACATTATTTTAATATCGATCAATAAATTTATTTAAGCATTTTCCTGGGCCTCTCCTTACGCTCGTCTCTCATTCTCACTCACTCTCACTCTCTCAAGTCTCTCACTGTAGCCGATCGTTTATTTTTTGGTTGTCGT